CTTAATTTCTTCCGAGAACCATACTCGGTGTCAACTCTTTTACACTACGTTGCCAAGGCTAGCATACCTTACGCAGTAGTCCAACAGTCACTCTCAGCTGCAAATGAGAAAGAACACGAAAACACATGCTCTCGCAGCAGTGTGGGGTCAAAGCGCTGCAGAAGCTATGCCAGCCTCCACAATGTGGCACACAAGAGTTGATGCCAAGTATAAAGACGCTAGACACATAGACTTTCAGACGCTGGGAAACGGCCCATGAATGGAAGGATTCACTACAAGGTGTCCTTTAGCACGCACAAAAAAACTGTTGCGGAAAAGGTCTCGCCACATCAGATGCCGTCCTTGGTCGCCTCCTCCAGCAACCGCTGAATCGTGTCGACGCAGGATCTCCGCTTAACGCACACCGAACACAGCGTCTCTGGCCGCAGGGTGTACTCGAAGTCTTCCTCAAAGACGAGGTCCAACGGAAGTGGCGCGGCCCCGTGACACGACCGGTAGTGTTCGTCCAGCCTGCGCAGGTTCACGAACGAATAATTACACAGGCTGCAGACGACTGTCGTGGCGTAATGAGAGAGCTCCCTCCTGCTGGGTGCAATGCCGGGCGGCTTCCGCTGGGCGCCGTTCTGCGTTGTCTGCTCTCCACCTGCCTGCGCTCTGGCCCCTTCCGCACTCCGAACTTCCAAGGACTGCGGAGTCGGCACCGGCACGGGCACGTTCTTCCTCGCGTGACGCGCCTCGTGGACGTCTCGCGCGGAGCTAGAGGTGAAGTAGGCGGAGCAGAGGGAGCACGGAAAGCGGGTGTAATTCGAGATCTTGACGCCGGGCGACGCGGAAGCCTCGGGCACGTAGCGGCGATCCGCTCCGATCTGCGTAACGTGGGACATGAGGTCGCTGAAGTTGGGGAACCCGACCAGGCAGTGGCCGCAGATGAGCTGGCGCTGCGAGAAGCAGCGGTGCGCGTGGGCATCCGTGAGGAACTCGTACATGCGGTGCACCATCTCGTGGCAGACGAGGCACTTGTACCCGCTCTCTGCGGAGGAGCCAAGAGAAATGTGCGCAGTGAGTGCACGACCCACCCGGCGACGGTGCTTTCGCATTTTGTTTTTGCCGTCCGACACAGACTTTGGAACAGTGGGGGACGAGCGGTGTTTGAATTGAATTTGGGCGACTCTTACAAGCCAAACCGACGAAGGCCGTCGGCACGCCCCGGCGAAGGACCGAAGATTAATTTCGACCGCCTGGAGAATCTTTTGACATGCAACCGAGAGCTCGGTTGCACGGCCTTCTCTGTAATAAACCTTCGTCGGATTTGAAACCGCCACGTGGGAATCCGCGGGCCGGCGTTTTGCCTCCGAGCCTCCGTGGCGGCTGAAGAAGCAGTGTTGTATTGATGGATGCGTACGGCTGAAATCTTTCAATCGAATGGCAACTTGCGCTACCTTTACTGCGCGAGTCAGAGGGATCGATGGCTGCTAGAAGGGACGACATAAATCGGTTTCTTAATCTATCACGCTACGATTTGCATTTTGAGCGCGTGTATTTTTTTGTGTTGTGCAAAATCCACTCCTATCTTGGTCCTGTGTAGGACCGATAGTATTTCAAATAAATAAATAAATAAATAAAAGAGGTGCCCGAAGGTGGTGGAAGCATTCGCTAAAATTGTGGAAGCATTTGCTCACCCAAGTAAATCATGAAAAACCAAAAACCGTTTTCTCTATACACCAGCTCATGTTTACAAACAAACCGGAGCGCCTCTAGTGGACGCCACCGGCGGCGCGCATGCGCGATGGGGGTGTGGTCAAGAAGCTTGCCGTCGCCCATAAACAAACCATTGAAATGAGATGCTGTCGGCGTCGCTGAGTCCCCCCTGCCCTTTTTCGTGTTCGAATTGTTGATTCTACGTCTTCCTGGCAATGCCTGACTACTTCAGCTACCTCAGCAAAATTAACGAGGCTTGTTACACCGCAAAACTTCGCGTGAATAATGTGACATGCGGAGAAAGCCTGATTCGCATGATCAGATTTCGCTCGCAATTTTCAGTCGCCTCGTCGCTCGGGCTTCAAAAGCATGAACCGTAGCTGAGATGGTCGACGTCAATACTGAAAATCTCAAGCAGAATCGGACCAAGTGAATCAGGCATAACAAGTCGGTGATGGCCACTGGTAACAATTATCAATATACCATTGTATCTACTGTTTACACCGAGCCTCCTTACCAACCTTCAAACTTTGAAGTCTTTTGAGGCCTGCACTTTCTTCTTATCGCAATTACCGGGCCAATGTTTGGTCTTAGGGCCGGTGTCGTCTGAAAGAGCAGACGACAAGCAGAAACGTTTGAAAGAGCAGACGACAGTTCGAACGATCAGGCGGCCGTTTGAACTTGAAGACACACTGAACGTAATCCGCAGGTGGTCTGTACAACTTGGCGGTTTTCCGGCGTTCATGTTAGAACAAAACAAAGAAATCTGATGACCACAAGTATCCGTGAATTCAACCCTAAAGTGCCTCCCGCCCAAGCAAGTGTGATCCGACGGCGTCTGGTTCGAACCAAGCACATGAAAACTGGCCCTCAAACCTTTCTCGACACTTTTGGTACAGCCCCATCGCGGCGTTTTGACGAGAAGGCAGGTTTTTGTCTGGTTCCTTTTAAAACAACGCAGGAATACAGGTCTCACATGGGGACTTCTGCCCACAGCCCCAGATCGGAAGTGCGACAGACGCGCCACCACCGCGCCGTGATGTAACAGAGATGAGTGCGTGTATACTTAGCATGTATACTTAAATATTTTGTGTCACTGTGGCACTCCTTTGGGCCAAATAAAGTGAAAAATAGGTATGCCGTTTTTTTTGTTTCCTATTTTATCAATTTTTTGGTTGTAATAAATGCCAGAATAGTCCACAACAATTTACTGATGATTTTGAGAAAAAGGCTTGGCGATACCTTTTTTTACAAACAAGAGCAGTTTTTTTTTTACTTTTTTCTTATGTAGTTATACTCTCAATTAATGAATGCACCACTTTCGAGCACCTTTGTAGTAATAAATGCCAGCGTGATAAGTTAAGAAACTTATCATCGCACTTTAATACGCGAAGAGAAGAAAGCCCCAGCTTGGCCACCCCTGGTATATTCGAAGGAATACATCAAAAACTGTTCGTTTAAAAATTTAAAAAAAAAAATGCAAAAAAGAAAGAAGCTGCAGTAATCAATTTTAGTAGTAATACCGTACTTTTTCCGGTGTCCTTAGGCTCCTCGGTGTCTGTGCGCCATAGGGGAGAGAAGGAAAAGAAATCCGTATGAGTATGGGCGCGGAGACAACCGAAAGCTACCACCCAGGTCGCTTACATACTTACATATTTTAGGACTTACCTGCAACACACGCGTCCATTTCGACGTCTCCGTTGCCTAGACATTGCGTAGGTATCGAATTTTTCAGGAGGACCCGACGATCTCCCAAAGTGTGAACACGACCCTTGACAAAATGTCGGGAGCACAGAAGCGTATTGGCGTCCGCTTTGAAGCCCTTGGGGCCCACACGGTCCTCCCATACCTTCCGGAGTCTCTCGGACGTCGGAAACTTGAAGAAGGAGATTTCACTCGACTTAATTTTGTTCGTTTTGCAATTCCGAATGCAGCACGTATTCACCATTTCGTTACGCGGACTACGCGAACGACGATGCCAAGATGGATGCCAACCGCTTTTGCGCTTCCCTGGGTAATTTTAGACAGCACGTGATCCTCCCGGACCAATGACGACTCAAAGAGCCTCGGCACCGCCAGGGGGCTAGCGAAGTCGATCTTGGGCCGCCATTTTCGCTTTTGGTGCTGCGTGTTGCTTCGGTTATTTTGATTGCAGAATACTGGAACGTTCTAACTGCTACTCGCCTGCGCTGGCTCCGATTTCACGCAGAAGTTTTGTTTCCGGCGTCCGCGGGCTGGCGTTGTGTCATTTCCACAAGGCGCCATTTTTTTGTTTGGTTCAAATTTCAGATAGAAGTGCTAAACCTTTTAGTGTAGCGAGCGACGCACTTGTGGAGCTCATAACCTTAGCTCTAATTCGTACGTTAGAGGTTCAATCGGCGCTTCTACTTTTATATATAACCTATCAATGACCATTGTATCCGTGGGCGATATACCAAGGAGCCGTTTTGTTTGCTGATGTGCGCTCCTCGAAACATGGGCCTGTAGCGTACACCATACAGAGCTACCCTAGTTCCTACCGAACGCTTCAAAGCGCATGTGGAACAAAAAGCGCCGCGCGCTGATTCCCATAGCAACAACCCAGGACGCGGTGACGTGGACCTATGCCAAGCCGCCGTCACAGCGTGCGCACAAGTTGCCATGGAAACTGCCTCGCGGCGCCCGTTATTGTCACTCATGTTTCCTGTTTTAGCCGTGCCACTTGCAGGGGCTTTAAATGTGAGGCAAACAGAAAAGTGTAGCTTTAATGCACTCAAGTTCATGCATTTTGCACTACAAGTAACACCAATGCTCACAGGTTTTCTTCGAGCCATATTCATTCCTCCAATCCTGGGACCCACCCCCTTTAGTACATTCATTAATGACATATCACATCCTACATGCATTGCACGCCCTCCTGTATACTGATGATGTAACAATCATTCAACCTCTCCAGAACACCCTCCAATATCAAACCGCAGGACGACCACTGTCCACAATTGGTCTACCTTGCTACAGTTGGTGGTCACCTTGCAGAATCCCCAAGCCATTGCTGAACTTTTATGCGCCCACTTCTCCTCATAGACTCTCCCCGACACCCCCCAGACATTCCTCCCTCCTCAAACGTTGTGCCGCTCGGACACACGGACATAGAAGTAGATGTTCATGAGGCCCCGAGGCACCTGAAACCCTCCCAAAGTGCAGGCCCGGATGGTGTGCATCTTATGCTGTTAAGGGCGTGCTTTGACCATCTGGGTCCAGTGCTCACGCGATCTCATCATATTGGTGGAAACTGTACAAGAAAAACTTCCACCACACACTCGAGAGTTTCAACATTCTTTTCTTTATTCTGAGTTCGCGACACTGTGCCACGCCGAAGCGAGGCACACTTCTCCCTGCTCAGATATATAAAAGTGCTCTGCAACAAGTCGGATCTAGATGGCAACATGCCAAACAGTGCCAGCTTGAATCCGATGAAAAGGGTGGACATGCACGCTTATGCCGGTGATCTCGCTGAGAATGGACAACGTCCTCGTATGTGGATGGAAGAAACAAAGAAACGCTTTGCTTGGCGCTAAAATGACACACACACACACACAGATCAAGTGATTTTCTTCCTTTGCACAAGCGTGCTCGGAACAATGCGCAATGTCACTCGTACGCGAGCACAACTTCTTCATAAACGAGCTTTGTGAGGTTGGTGGCATTTGGAACAATGTTGACCGACTTCTGCCGGCCATCAGGTCACTGCTTCATTGATACAGTCTTAATAGAGTCTGGGCTTATATACATTTCGTGCTGATCGCTCGCTGCTCGTGCAAAAGACGCCCGTCAAACGTGCTTTCGCGTCAACAGTGAAAAACGTTTGAAGGCTCAATGTCTTTCGTGTAACTAAACCTTCTAGTGAGGAAGCTTTTTTTTTTTTTTATTCTTTGTGAAGTGTACGATATTTGATGAGAATCTTGGTGTCAATAAACCCCGATGCAACAAGGATTGCTCGCGACACTGCAATTGCTGGCACAGAGTTACGCGCACAAAGATGTAAACAAAAAACACCCAAAGAGAAGCGCTTGTTTAACGCTCCGCATCATTCGCAAACCACGACCATCAAAAAGAGGGCTAGAGGTTAATCTCCTCACTTATATATTAGGTAGTACTAGCACAATTGGGGCAATCCTTCATTCTCGACAAGCATAAAGTTGCGTAGAAAGTAAACAATGCGGCACAAGAACCTCCTCAGTGCCGCAAGCCTTGGGCGGCAGAGCTTTGTCGTCGTCGTCTTCTGACCAATGCAAATCGTGCAACAAAAATATTCTCGCTTTCTCAGAAGAGACGGCGACGGGGCCCGACCAACCGCGGCAAGAGCAAAAGAGATAATAAGAATACGTGCAGACGACAACTTCTCCAAACACCAGGGCTCCACATTGGACGGTACGGCTTGCAAGTCGTCTGTGCAACTCTGCTCCCATTGGTCGAAATCGAAATGGCAAGAAAGAGACTCCAAGGATTGGCTCGGCTCGGCCTACAACGGCCCGGCCTCTCAACTCATTTCCTCAAGTTTAGAAAAAAAAAGGAGAGGCAGCCATGACTAGTGGTTTTCAGTGGGAGAACAAACAGACAGTTCTTACGAGTTCTCGTCCTTCCGCTCCCTTAGTTCGTCTGCGGTGTACTGGCATGGACGGCCACGTTTCGCTACTGCCGAGGTCGAGGCCGCCGACAATATAGATGCTTCGAGTACAGCCATGTTCCTCAGCGTCGAAAGGAGCAGAAGTGGCAGCCCCCCTCTCTGGCGACGCCTGACACGAGAGTGGCGGCCGAGCGCGTGCCATCCTCGGCACCCCAGCGCCATTTGAGAGGGTTTCTCTGTGGGGTGGCATTCCTTGAAACTATGAAGTGCGGCAGCCAATAGGAATTTATCTAATCTATCAATTCGCTACTACAAGCTTCGCTCCATGGGACAGGGAAGTTTAGGTGCCGTTTGGCGAGGCTTCAAAAGCTGATGACACCGGTTCGCTATGGGACAGTTAAACTATGAAGTGTGGCAGCCAATGGGAATTTATCTAATCTATCAATTCGCTGCTACAGACTACAGGCTTCGCTCCATGGGACAGGGAAGTTTAGGTGTCGTTTGCGAGGCTTCAGAAGCTGATGACACCGGTTCGCTATGGGACAGTTAAACGATGAAGTGTGGCAGCCAATGGGAATTTATCTAATCTATCAATTCGCTGCTACAGACTACAGGCTTCGCTCCATGGGACAGGGAAGTTTAGGTGTCGATTGCGAGGCTTCAAAAGCTGATGACACCGGTTCGCTCCATGGGACAGTTAATGTTTTCAAGTTAAAAAAACAAGTAGATTTCGAACCTTCAACCTGTTTCCTCGATAGTAGGGCTCTCGTAGGTGACGTTTCTGTAAACATTTGCGTGCGCATTATTGTCTCGTCGGAGATCCTTCACTCAAAGTACAAATGGATTAGTTAAACATATAAAATAGTGAAATCAGCACTATTTTATGTGCTTAACTAAGATGAACCAACTAGCCCAACAACGTACCCTACTAAACAAATGGATTAGCTCTCCCGACGGGCTTGAATGTCTTTCGGTCACTTTAGAAAGCCACGCGAATGTCGCCGTTTTTGACGTTCCAGTGCCATCTTTTTTTCCAGGTGCGCCGACGGATGGGGACTAAAAACCACAATGCAGACCAAGTCCAGATGCCTGGGCTCACTAGAGAGGCGAAGAACGCCACCGAAAGGAAATCCTGGATTCCCCAGGGGAGTTCATCGGAAAGTCCGGGATTCATTCACCCCACCTTACAAACACACAACCCATAGATGAGAAACCTCATTTTCACACAAAATAAAAGTTTTCCGACCGATTAATTTGTTAATGTCGAGGAAAGTATCCGTTCCTTTCATGTGCACAGACTCGCTTGCAAGCAGTACCTCTCACCAATCTCGACGAAGTTTCCGCCAGCCACCTGCGCCGTTCCCAATTTATGGTTGTGCATCTGCAGGCGTGTTTCAAGAAGAATGCGTCAAAACCGCGAACGCCTTTCCTCTCCTCCACCTCCTCAATAAAGTTGGCATCAACGAAAGAAAAAACAAAATATAAATAAATGGCGACATCGCTTTGAAGATTTTGATGGAACTCCTTGACTAACTCTATTGACACCGCCCACAAGAACTTGGCGCCGGAAAGGTTTCTTCCCAAGATTGATGGGATACAACGGCTTTAACGTTCGAGAAAGGCGACGTTTGCCGTTTCGTCCGATTATAGCGCCGTATAGGCCGGTTCGTACAGCAGCGACGGTGCCAGCAGATGTCGGTTTTGAGACTACGGTTCTCCGGTGTCACTTGATGGCATTGGAACGGGGAGGAGAGGGTAGCGCCAGCTTCGAGAAAGCGATTCGAAGACCTCCTAAACGGCAGGGTCGCACTGCCGGATTATCTACGCCGCCTCCAGCAAGTGTTCTAGGGCAATTCCCCCGGTGGATCTGGAGCAGCTCTTGACCGCTTTTGTGCTGGTGTCTCGCGCGTTCAAGCGCGCGCTTGCATTTACCGCACCAAAGGTTCAAGCTCTGGTACCTCGTAGCCCAGTGGACGCGCCAGTCCACCCAGGGAATTTCCCGACGGAAAAATCCGGCACTACGCTGCCGCCGTCTGGAAGGCGGGTCGGTTTCGGAGACGCCGGATGGCGTCCCCCCGCGATCACGCCGGGAGGATGTGAGTTGCAGCGGCGGCGTTGTTGTTGTCCGCCACGGCCGACTCGTTGATGGACAGGTCATGGTCGGACACGTCCACCGACATCTCGAGGTCGCACGAGTCCGGGGCAAACTCGTCCTGCTGCGTCGCTGCGGCGTCTGCGCTCCCGCCGGGGACCGCGCCCTTCTTGCTCAGGTGGGTCTTCAGGTGCTTCGACAGGTGGTCGCTGCGCATGAAGCGCTTCAGACACTCTGCGCACTGGAAGCGCTTCTCACCTGCATGAGACGGGGCGGCAAGCTTTAGCCGTGCGTTTGGGGGGGTGGGGAGATCATCAATTTTTGAGCAGCTCATACTTGAACGTACTATTCCATTGGCTACTGACGATTGCTCTATAGCTTCGCATTTTAAGGGCACTTTCCAGGGAGCTGGAGTTAGCTTCTGCGCACAAGGCATGTAAGGAAGGGGTTGCGGCACATTGCTCTATAGTTCTGAGGGGCCGCGCCGTGGCAGAGTTTAGGGAGCACCGAGCTACCAGTTGGGTTTGCAACGTCTCCTCGATAACAAGGTCACGGTGCCAGGCTTCCTACGTCAGCCATGGGCGGCCAGCACAGGGCATAGGTTGGACGCGAGTGCTCCGTCAATATCTGGCTGGGACTACACCTCGTTGCAGCTGACGCTACGGGGTAACAAGAGGAATCAAGCAGCATCAAAAGCAGCATCATCCAACACCTAGAGACACCTTTGTGAAAAAAATTTTCTTGCATTCCATCCGCTAGCTCGTTTATAGCGTCTCTTTTTTTCGACCGAGGGGCGCTCGAGAACAGCCTGCAAGAGGTGCACCCCCGCAGACGACGTGAGCCTAAACGCCCCGTTCGGCCTTTCTCCACACCTGTGGGTGCCCACGAGCCATATTATCTCTCAATCTCTCGGGAATTTCGAAATATGGGACCTCAACTTTGCATTTCGCGTCCCACACTGGACTGCGGCTTTTTCTTAACCTGGCCGGTACGGCGAATGAGCATGCAGGACTGTTTCAGCTCGTGTAGACCCAGCAGTTTTGCTTTTGCCAAACTAATGGCGGTCATGAAAACTATTTCGTTAGGCTTGGCACCGTCATTTTCGTGCATCAATGACGGATGAGATTTGGTTCTTCGATTACCTCATACTTCTTTCTTGTTTTTGACTAGATGGTGAGCACATAACAACCGACTACCGTAAACTTCCAAAAAAATGTCCGCCCCCCGAGATTCGCCCATCCCGTTTCTCTGGCTAAATATCTCCAACATAAAAATTTCAAAACATCACCCAGCCCCCGATTCCCGTCGGACATCACCGAGATGTTCAATGGGAATCGCATCAACCGCGCACTTTGCTATACCAACACATCTGATAAGCGAGTTCATAGCGGGTTCCCGCGTTTTTGTCCCTGATCTGCGTGCGCAATATTGGCTCCCGTAACATGAGAGTTGTTATCGCGTGTATGTTGCACCGTGAAATGCAAACCTGCTGTGTCCGCAAGCTGCAGTATCCGTTCCAGTGACAAAGTTTGTAACGGATTCCTGCATTTTTGTCCAAGATCTCGATTCCACGCGAGTTGGTCCCACGTGTATATTGGATCGTAAAATATGATTCTGCTGCATTCGCGATCTGCGATATTTGTTCCTGTAACATACAAGTTTTAGCGGATTGCTGCGCTATGTCTGAGACATACATTCCCGTAACAGGCAAGTCCGTAGCGTGTTCCCGTGTGTTAATTGCACACTAAAACTTGAATCTGCTGCGTCAGCGATTTGCACTATTTGTTCCCATGAGACGAGAGTTCTTGGCAAATTTCCGCAGATCCTTCGCACCGTGAAAGGCGAATCTGCTGCCTCCGCAACCCGCGGTAACCTTTCCTGCGACACAAGAGTTCATAGCAAATTCTTTCATGCATATCGCGTCGTGAAACGCGAACTGGCAAAGTCCGCAATCCGCAGTGTCCGTGATCTGCGGTATCAGTCCCTGCGTCACGTGGTTCGCAGCCGGTGCCGGGGCGTTTAGCATTAAATTTTGATCAAGTTTTGCTGTGGTATCCCCAAAGACAGCCCACCCCACGTTTTTCACCATTTATCTCTTCCTACTGGGTGGGCGTTCTTTTGGAACTTTACGGTAGTACCAAGCGGCAACCCTTAAGTGCCTCAATTAAATCTCCACCATCAAAAGGCGTTAGAGCCGAACTTGTGGCAAGAGATCGATTGGACCGCACTCTGAAATAAATGCCTACGCAATCGTCGTATCTAATTCATGCTTCGTGTTATGGCGACGTCTAAGACGTACAGGCTTTGTATATCTGCTCAGCGGTATCTTTCGACTTCTTCCTTCGTCGGCCTCAAGAAAGCCACCACTAGTTTAGCACAGATGCCATACACTGAGAAGATGATCAAAGCAACCAGACTGAATTTCGCGGCACGTGGGGGATACACTGAGATGACGACGGTGACCAAAGTTGCCAGACCCAATTTCGAAAAGGGTCTATGTTTTGCGGCACGCGGGTGGTCGGCCAGCCCCACTCACCCGTGTGGGTGCGTTTGTGTCGCTGGAGCTCGTCGGAGCGGGTGAAGCGCTTTCCACAGAAGAGCCACTCGCAAACGAAGGGCCGCTCGCCGGTGTGCCAGCGCAGGTGGGCCCGCAGGTGCGACGTCTTCCCATATACCTTGTGGCAGCCCGCTATGTGGCACACGTGCTGCCGACGCTTGTTCTCGCTACTCCTGCAAGGGCAAGGAGGGGGGAAAGGCTCACGACGCCGTTCGCCACCGATGCGACGGTTACCGACAGAATGAGAAAGGTAGGGGGAGCACGTGGTAGAGGCGGACATTTGGTAGACACGCCCAATTCGTTCTCATTCTGTGTTTTCTGCAACTCTGAAAATCGCTAGAGTACCCCAGGGTGCCAGAGCGATTACCGAGATCGCCCATTTACAGTCAAACCCACTTATAACGAACGTCATAATTCCGTGAAAAGTGGTCGTTTTATCAGTAGTTTGTTATATCTGGGATTACCTCTTAAAGATTATAAATAAGGATAATGAAGCTGGTATTGGTAGTTTCACTCTGCCAAGCTCTTTATTTAAAGAAACTGTTTGCACGATTCTAACGCGGCCCCAATTCTAACGCAAAGGCAGATTTACCTTTCAGATAATCAAAAAAGTGAATTGCTGCCGATTCTACTGCGCCAGTAAAATAATGGATTGACCAGATACCTCATAGAACAGATTTTATGAAACGCACGCCAACACAAAAATAAATGCCGTGCACTAGTCCGACAATGGTTCTTCACTGCCCGCAGGGGTAATTAATACTTGCCTTGGTCTAAAGCGTTTCAAGTGCCGCGCTTCCTGCGCACGTACGAGTGCGCGGCCGTCGCCTCTGGCAGGGCCGTCTTTCAAACGACACTTTGCGAGCTCGTCGGGCGGCTGGGATTGCCAGGCCACGCGGTGCTGCTCCGCCACCGTGATTCCCTTTTGTTTAAATAAAACCTCCTAGTGGATTTTCTTCTTTCCCCCGTTTAAAACGACAGACACGAGTCCGTAGACACAAGAGAATGTGCGTGATACGGATACCAAAATGGCGAATGTAAACAAACGGTCACGATGGCGATGAGGCCAGCGAACTTATTACGAGCATCGAGTTTTTCGTGAGTTGAATACAGAGTTTGCAAACAGAACGAACGAATGCAGCACAGCGTGAGAGTTGACTTCCGCCTTCTCCTCCTCTTCTCCTTCCCGCACAAGCGCAATCTGCGGACCACGCGGCCCGGGAGGGCGTTTTTGCTCTTGTAGTTTTGTTTCCTCCCCGGCCGCGCAACCGTGGAAATGACCTTGAGTGTCTCCCGGAGTGCCGCATTCAAAATGTAATTCTTTTATTCTTTCGTTTTTTGTTTTTTTTCGAAAGCGGATTTTGTTTTTGTTTTAGAGTACGATGTTTTGAAAACGGTCGTTTTATATGGACCAATTTTAGTGGGTAGAGCCTCGAATTCATATATTTCCTGAAAGCTGGTCGTTATAACCGATAGGTTATAACGATCACAATATGTGGGATCGTTACAAGTGGGTTTGACTGTACATTCGTAACTCAGCCCTAGGCACTCTAAGCAATCTAGAAAACACCAAAATTCGACGCATTCGCGTCCAACTTCCCCGTTGGCGCTGTCGGAGGCACGACGGTCAATCGCGAGCGATTGCCTCTTGCGGATGAGGGTGCCAAACAATGGTGGACTGGTTTTTCTAATGTGCGCGATTCGCACGGAGTGAGCGATGGCTCGTGAATGGCCGTCGCACGTTCGAGGGCGCCCTCTGGTTTTTGCACCGAATCCCAGAAAAAAATGAGTGTCGCCGTCGTTGATCTCGTTTTTAGTGGAGAAATCGATCGCATATCAATTCAATCTTGGGTTTTTTAGAATGCTGAGAAGCCGTAGATTAGGTTGCGACCATATCGTTTTTCATCTATTGCTCCATGTCATAAAAGATCTTGCTCTTTCGCTTCCTGTTTTCCTTTGCCTTCCTTCTGGTACGCTTGCCCCTCCCTGCCTTGGCAACCAAATAATAACTTACAGTATCTATAAAAAAAAAAAATTAACTCAGGAAACACTTTAGTGTTCTGTTCAGGAAACAATTTAGCGTTCCGTTGAAAGTTGGGCGAGTTGGTTATGCATAATTATCAAGAGGGAAACAGCGCCAAAAGTATGAAGGAAAAAGAGCGAGGGTCCCTCGTTTTTTGTCCTCCCTACTTTTTACGCCGTTTCCCTCTCCATAACTTTAGTGTTCCCACTGAAAGGTGGGAACTCTCGAAGGAGATGGCACTTCTCGAAAGGGTGCGAGGTCCTCTCGGAGAAAAAAGGGTCCCCTCACCTCCCCTCCCCCTCCCTGCAGTTTGGGCAGGTGCATGCAACTCTGCGGAGCCTCCTGAGCCCAGCGTTGTTGCCCGGCGTGGCCCCTCCGCTGTCTCCCCCCGGCGAGCCCCCCTCCGCCAGGTCGGGGGACTCCAAGCCCCCCTCACTGGGCGTCGCCGAGCTCTGACCGGGGTTCAGACCCGACGCCTGGGCCTGCACCAGGTGGACCTGGGACCGAGAAGCGATTCGGAAAAATAAAAATGGAGCAGTTTTCGCCTAAAGGGGCAACACCGCTTCACTAGCTTTTCTTGTATAACTTTCGATTCAATTCAAACTAAGGTTACATAGCTTATCTGCCATTACATCAAAACCAATATGTACTTGGTTTTGATGTAACCTAATTAGTTTTGTTAATATTGAAAACTTCACTTGCAAAGATTATGGAAAAGGTTAAGGGGGGACACTGGCTAGAGGTCAAACTTTTGAACTACTCAAGTGATCGGAATGAAATTTGCAGGGGAGATTTAGCTTCAGATGTAGGTGTATACTGTGCAAACTTTCAGCTCTCTAGGACGAATTTACATACCTGCATAAGATGATGTGTCACTTTTCATTAAGAAATCTATGATATGCAAATCAAGCTATTAAGCATCATTTTTTACTACTTGAATATAAAGTGTGGTATATGGGACCTCGGGCCATCTAGTTTTAATAACTTAAATATAAATATTTCGGGAAGAGTTATTACCTCAAACTATGAGATGCACATCTGTCCTCTGTCAATTTTTAAAAACTTAGTTTTTTATCACTGAGGACTTCAACCTTAGAACAAATAAAGTAGATAGCCCGATTCCTGAGTAAATTTGTGTTCAGAAACATCTTGATTGTGGTATCAGAATACTTTCACCTTCGAACAAAAGATTCCTTCGTATGAAATTTGCAGCAAAAAGTGGAACTGAGAAAAATGCATTCAAACATTGAACTCCTTTACTTCGTTACTGCCTCACAATGTGTTGAAAATATTTTATATCAACATAACTATTTGGCGTACGGTTATCAAATTTGGTGTAAGGGTGTATAATTAGTTTCTAAAACTGAAAACCTCAAAATTAAAAAATGAATTTTTTCAAAAAAATTTAAAATTTAGGCCCATGTCCCCCCTTAAGACAAATTGAAATCACAAAATACACATAATTCAGTGAACTAAAATTTTGTCTGTGGAGCTCTAGGCTGATTTATAGGCTTTTTATGACACCTGAATTTTCCGGTTTCAAATTGATTTGTTGCAGGATACCTGAAAGGCACATAAAAAGAGCCTGATATACCATATTTAATAATTTACACCCCTTATTGCCTTTGTTATACACCTACGCCTACCACAGAAGGAAAAGATTACGAAGAGTGGACATGTGCCAGAGGAGATAGGAAAAAGCAGTGTGTAAATAGTTTGTTCATTCAAAAAAAATAGCAAAAAATATCCACAGACCCATTTTACTTTGTTTACGAGACAATATTTAAAGATAAGAGACTTCTTTTATGAGAACTGCCTCAAGATCAGGGTTCCCGTCGTCAATTGCACGCAAGAAGTTTCAACAAGAAGAGGGTCGTGCGAGCAAGGAAATATCTCGGTCACACACGGCGTCACATAAAGTCCCGGTAACACCATGCCACGTGACACAATATCCCCGCTGCATTTGGCAGGAAAACATCTCTTTTATACACCGATAGAATGTGCTGCTCGTTTAAATATCCTCACAAGTGCTGTCGCACCTCCACCGCATTTGACAAAATGTGGCACGTCACGGTGCTACGTAACGTCACGGGACGCTACTTCACAGTATCCCCGCCAAATTTAGCGGGGAAATGCCTTCGTTACATACCGATACGAGTTGCTGCTTGTTCAGAACCCCATAGAGTGCCATCGCATTCAACAAAACGTCTAAGCTAGGATTTTTTTTTCTTCTTTTTTTTTTTTTTTTTGGAGGTTGTGCACAAAGACGCTGTGCTTAGGCCGGCCCCACCTGTTGTCCAGCCTGCAGGTGCTGCTGGGTGGCGCTGGACACGGAAGTCCCCATGGGTTGCGCTGCCACCATCTGCCACTTGGTGGGATCGTTGGGGTCCTGCTGAAACTGCTGCGCTGCATGGCACGCGACGGGAACAGGACCCGCACCCCAGGATGTGAGGCCGACGTGGTCACGTGACGCGGCGCCACACTGCATCGCGACTCAATGTCTAACTTCGCCACCGTCACGTCCAGTTTGCACAACATTGTCTCTCACGTTACAAAGCTTGCACACGTTGACGCTGAGATACGACCGCAAATCACCGGGACATCCGTGCTTCGTACAAAGCGTCGCAACCAGATAGAAGAGCAGCTTGGCACGTGGAATGTGGAGCACAGATGTGCCGGCGACTCGGAGCACGGAGTGCCAGTGACCCCCCCCAAACGGGAAAATATTGCCCGTATATGTCTACTGCTGTCAGTTTAATTAGGACGTCTTGCCGTCTCCAACTGGTCATTTTTATTGACTAAAGCTGAACAAACAATGCGCCATCAAAAACAAGCTTCTGCAAAAAGCATTTCAGTGGGTCCCTCTAAGGAGAACCAGAGTACAGTACATACTTTCAACGGCTATCCAAAAATGCACTCTTAAGACGTTCTCCATAGGGAACCGGTACAAGGCGTTACTCACCGACCAGCTGGCCGTTGGCCAGGGCCGCCTGGACCGTCTGCAAGGGGCTGAGGGGCCCCTGAAGCGGAGAGGTTATCACGTTGCCCTGCGGGGTGATGCCCAGCGCCTGGATGGCGCCCCCCAGGAGGTGCTGCTGCGCCGCCCCCTGCTGCTGCGCCGCCCCTTGCATCTGCAGCCCCGTCGCCGCCGCCATGGCGGCGGGCAAGCTCTGCACCTGCGCGGCGTCGGAGCAAGCGCGCCGTGAGTGGGACTTTAGCATCCCGACGCGGCACGAGGTGAAGCGGACTTTGGCGGGAGTTCGCCAGCGTCCGAATACCGGGGCGATTAAAATATTTATAGCACACTGGCCGTAGAATTTGTTTCATTCGAAACCTTTCCAAACCCGAGCCTGTCATGGGTTATTGTGTTGGCAAGGCCTCGGCCGATTTGCAAATGATTAGTCACGTTGTCGACTGTCACCTCTTTATCCGATAGAATCGGTTCACGTGCATGTTAAGTGTTGTTATCAGTCGTAGACGTGGATGGAAGGGTGTGTTCGGCTGATTATTTACAGCTGACATTTGTGCGTCCTTCCTTAAACTTCCATATTCATTTAAATGCACTGCTTTGCGAAGAAGCACTTCCTTTAGGCTGTGAAGAGATACTGTCACGAGGCGCACCCTTTGTATATAAAAACAGTGGCTCCCCCACTTGTGCATATCGTGTGAGGGGCAGCCGCTGTTCCTTGCACCTTGCTCCCAACTGAACTGACACGTTTAATTTAAACCTAGACAGCAGTGACTGCAGCGACCTCGCACAAAACGTGCCGATAGGACAATGTGGCCAAGAGGAGTTTTAAGATAAGCGGAGTGTGGTAAACTTTTGGATCAGACTCCTTTAGTTCCCAGCCAACAGAGCCTTCAGTGTCCCAACGAAGCGTGACTATGCTTTATGCTAACTGTTTGGTTCCACATAACCAAATGCAAAAACACGTGGGATTTTCCAGGATCCAAAAGGAGGAGCACTAACAAACATGAATATGTCTGAACAAGGACACTACGCAGGAAGGCAATCTTTTTAACCGTTTTAATCATACCAAATTTGCAAGGCATATTCATAGCAGGGAAAGAGGATGACGTGCACAGTTTAAAGTTTGTAAATTTATCCTTATAAGAGTTATGTGAAAGTACATAGAATAAACACTGCGCCACCTGGGGAAAACTATTGCTTAGAAAAGTTAATGATTATGGCCAGCTCTTTTGGTAACACCCGTGTCATGTGGCTATGAAAAGAAATTACCGAAATTATATTATTTTCAATAAAAAAACAAATTTGTGAATTCCATCTAGAGGGGGAAAAATCCGAAATGAACGACCGATATATCGCAAACAGTCACAAAAATGCCAGCACTGCCATATTTGCGTTCGCCACGAACCGCTCCCTCTGCGTCTACCACTGTTCAGGAAAAATGTATTTCTGTACTTGTCCATGTCTATTTCGAAACACCTTTCTTTGGCACTTTTGAGGAAGTACCTTGTGGATATCTCGCTACATAAAAAACAAATGTATCTCAGTAGCTGTATTTTGACCTTGAAGCACATTTATTGGCATTCCAGAATACTTTCTCGAGCGTCTCTGCCCAGTGGAATAATCGAGGCCTGTGACCATTCCCCTCTTCCCCCATGGAACGTCATCACTGCTGGACGGAGCTTACTCAGCAATGGGACTCTATGCCGATTGTCCCATGCCGCGCCGCCTCGCACGTGGCTCTGAAGCGCGGTTGTAGCGGGGGACAGCGTCGGTGGGAGTGCTCCCCTGGCCTCACCTGTATAATGTTGGGCGACCTAAGCCCAGCCAGCCCGGACATGTTGATGGCCCCCATGGGCCACCAGGCTGTCGCCCCCCCAGCCAGCAGCTGGCCCACTTGGCCCTGGACCACCTGGCCAGAGGGCAGCTGCACCGCCAGCGTCTGCGCCTGCAAGCCAGACGAGAGAGGGCGGTGACCCCAGTGTCGGAACACGGCAACACGGCGTTACCCTCGCCAAACGCGGGAGGGCTCCATGAAACCCGCAAAAGTCTTGCCGAGTTTGGGCTGGCTACTCGCCGCCACAGTGGCTGTAGGTCGAGGCACCCGCAATCTGGAGCGGGCTTATTGCGGGGAAGGCACTGTGCAACCGAGATTTCGGTTCGACGCCAAAAGGTTCCCTGGGTCGTCTAAATTAATGCTCAGTTCACCACTGGGGCAAGTCAGATGTGCCTAATTCGTTTGGTGTGTAAAAAACAAACAAAAAACAATTCAACTTTGGGCTAACTGCTCAATAAAAAACACAAAAGAAATCTATGCTAAATAGCTCTTCTTTTTTTTTTTAGAAAAGGTTGTGACATTTTTTTTGTAGGTACCTTATATTAGGGTTTAATGTTTTGGGATAAATCTAAAAAAAAAAAAAAAAAAAACTGAAAAACACTTGCAGTAAATTTTCGGCCGATTTGGGTTTATCCAAAAAAACTCTGAATTACGAGGTCACGATAAAATAAAAAAAGTAAAAGAGAAAGTGTTTTACAAATAAACTTTATAAGACCACAGAGGTCCGTGTTCCCAAGGAGATGCTACTTGTTTCCCTTGAAATCTTGAACTACTGACAAAAGGGGGTTTGCTGTTTAGCACCTCAAGGTTCCCTCAAGAAAACGGGCCACGATATCAAAACTTTTCTTTTGTTTTCGAGTTTTAAAAAATTGGCAACAGAGTAAAATAAACTCAGAATTTCAGAAAATCGTGAATCTAACAAAAATAAACTTCGATAAACCCCGAATTTTCAACAAAAAATAAACTCCGAAAAACGCCCTCCAAATTTCCCGAGAAGTAAACTCTGAAAACACGGAACCCTACTTATAATGACTCCGTTTCACCTACAGTTAGCACAATCCAGGAAAATGACCAAGAAGGCATGCAAAATCTGTGCCCCCATCCTTGTGGCACGCCCAGCTGTTTTTTCTGGCAGGCATTACAGTAGGCTCGCAATAATTCAAACTTGGATATTTCGTACTTCCGGTTAATTCAAACAGATATGAAAATTTTTGTTGTCCCGCTATGTTTTTAATGTATTTATGAGCCACTTAATTCGAACGGCGTTTTCGCTTATTTCATACTTTTTTCTTCTCGCGGCCCCGTTGAGTGCGCTTCTTTTCAAGCACCGGTGCACCGCAGAGAAGCAATACCTGCAGAGCTTGCTTTCGCGAGTGTTGCTTCTCCGCAGCGCACCGGTGCTCGGAAAGAAGTGCACTCAACGGGGCTCAATGGGTACACATTAGCGGAAAACTGCATTCAGATTATGTGCTTCAAGACTAGCAATGATGACCAAGACGACATCGAGGATGAGAACCAGCTCACTGGCATCATGCTTTCTGGCCTTGAAGCACATAATGTGAATGCCGAGCTGGCGGAATATGCTAGTCTTGATGACGATGTGTGTGTTTGTCGTGATGACTCATTAGAGGACATATCACAGGAAGTAATGCCAGCACAGTGCAGCAGTGAGAGTGAAGATGACGATGAAGAAAGGGATGACCCACTATCAACTGTCACAGCCGCAGAGGCCTTTGAGCACATTGCTCAGTTTCTGTCTGCAAAGGAAGAGTCCCGTAAAGAGCTACTTGCATTGATTGGCATTGAAAATTTTGTTTCGAGATCTCATGTGCTGACTAAACAGTTCACAAGCAACAACTTTTTTGCCGGACGAATACACTTAACGTCGCAGTCCTTTCATCAATGTGTTATGCTTGTTCTTGCTTATAATTAGGCCTATGTAGAGGAAACTGGCAAAAATCTGCTTTGTATGATTAGCTATCCATGTAACAAATCATAACGTTGTCTAGGATCATATTTAGATGAATTTCTGATAATTCAAACGAAAATCTGTGACTTCCTGGAGTTTGAATTAATGAGAGTCTACTGTACGTATTTGGTATTTATTAACCCTACAACTCTTCTTTGATCGGCCTCCATATCCGTGACGGCGTTCTAACATTACGACTCGCCCTGGGCAATGCAGTGCCCCCCACGCGCAACTTCACGCTCCGCGGGTTGCGCCCGACCAACCGAAGGGTCACGTCCCATTCTTTGAACCATAGATTTGCTTTGGCGGCTCGTAGCATCCGCCGCAGCACGTCAAGCAGTAAACCAAAGTGTGGGGTTGGAGAATTCAATTTTGGTCAAATTTCGGCGCCTTTCGCTAATGGACAAGGCCTGCTAATGGCAAGGCCTATGTTGCGCCTCGTGATGCGCATTCGTTGCGTAAAATCTTGTTTTGTGAAATATGTGTCCCATGGAAACACTTTAGAATTTTTTTTTTTTTAAGTTTTAGTGTTTTAAAAAAGAATTTTAGTGCCACGCTTGAGCAAACTTAAGGCAAGACACTGGTTCTAAAATCGACTTTTTTGTTTATTAATGGATTATAATGAAAATCAGTGTGTATATATGTTTTGGCTTCCTCTTTTCAAATATTCAATTAGTTCTGCAATATCTCAATTACTTTTTGAGTTACGAAGAAAATAATGAAGCCTAATTAGGTCATTTCTTACGACTCATTAAGGAACTTTCTAATACAAATTTTTTTTCATAAGTGATATGGATTTGTAGCTAAAGACCTGCCATGCAAGATGATGCTATTTATATTTTTGTAAAGATAGATCATTGTATAAAACTAGTCTAATTAGGTCAAGTACACTATTTACAAAGCCTAACGAGGTCACATTATCACTAATAATAAAATTTCGGGCCCATACTGTCATACAAAAATAGCATCACCCTGCAGTTCACTTCTTTCTGAATATAACGGTATAAAGTTTATAGAAATCCTTGAAGAATAATCTCATGAAAACAACCGTAAGGCTAGGCATGTAGACGAAAAATGCGAAGCTGAGAAAATTGCAGTTGAAGTTTTGACACTCATTGCATAAAATTGAGTAAGGGATCCCATGCAATAATGTTCAGCTATATGAAGCATAGTTCTATCTGAACAAATTGAGATGAAAAATTCTGCGATCCGTTCACAAGAACCTTTAAAAAATAATATAAAACTGAGAAATAATGTCTGCAATGTAAAATAAAGTTATAAAAGAATGAGTAGACTCTATAAGGGACAACGGGAGGAGGCACTAAGGGTTGCACGTTCCAAAAGCAGATTTTGTTTGGCCCTGAAAAGGGCCTTTGTTCATGTAGCACTCGAAAGGGGAGCCCCCTCACAGCTGTCCAGGACTGTAGTCCCCAGCTGTTCCAGTCCGGTGTTGCCTGGAGAACCTCTGTTTTGCATTGCTGCTGCTCTGGTGGGCAGCGTTGGCCTTACGCAAACGCAGATTGTCCTTCTCCATGCTGCGGCGTACGAGGCAGTCACCGGCAGCATAGCCCAGGCTCGCAGCAACGGACTCGCTCATTGCCCGCCTGCCCTGATTGTAGACGGCAACAGCTTCGGCAGCAGCCCTCTTGACGCTGTCCAGGGAGGCATTGGCGTTCTTCGAGGTTTGCGACCAGATGACCGAATGCAGGCTCTCGCTGGCATTTTGCGTCTTGCCTTCGCTGCACCGTGCCAGCAGGTTTTCATCACTGAGCCTTGCAAACACTGGCTCGAGGGCGGACCGCACACAATCTGGAAGAGGGTTCTTGTGCGCAGGTGGACACTCGCCATTTGCCAGGGCTCTGTTGAATTTGCACCACGACTCAGCTCCGTCGGGGCACTTGCTGTGGTCTGGGGCACTGTCCGTAGACGTCATGTGCAAGAGGGTGGCTTCCACTGCCCTCTTCATCCCTAGCACATCGTTACTGTTGCTCCTAAGGGCATAGCTGTAGTAGTTTTGAATCTTCTTGATTCGGTCCTGCGTCAGTCTGCCCTTTCCGCCGAGTGCTTCACCCTGGGCCTTCTTTTTCTCAAGGAGGTTACGCAACGCAGCCCCCATCCGCTTGTGCACATGATTGATGCAGTCCTTTTTCTCGACCTTGACGAAGCCGTAGACTTTTGCCTCGGTCAACGCATGAAAGGTTCGGCTATCTCCATCCGAGAGAACTGTGGTGTACCTCAGTCCGTGCTTGGCCAGGGATCTTTGAAACATGGTCAATGCAGCCTCCACTTCCATCCGACCTGAATTGCAATCTATGTTCCTCTGGCACTCGTGGGCTGCATACCAGTCGCCGTACCCCTCTTCCTCCGGCTCCGGTCCCAGGGCACACCCAAGGCAAAAGTTGGAGTACACCACATGGTCAAGAACTAGGCCGGAATACAGCTCGACAATGCAGCCCACACCAATGTGGGAGCTGCATCCTCTCGTCATCCAAGATCCGTCAAAGATCACGTCGATGTTGCCGACAGGGTTCAAGAAGTCTGCATACAGTCTCTTGACAACTTCTGAGCTGGCAGCTTCACTTGCGCTTGCTGACTTTTCGCAGGCTTGCACATGGGTCTTCAGGTGTCCCTGGAAGGTCTTGTGATGCAGGCCGCGGTGTGACAAGTTCATGGACGCACAGAAGTCTGCGAGGGCAGTGACTCCTTTCCCAATTGACTGAATTCCCTTCATTGCCCTCATGTTCACTTCGAAAGGAGTGATCTTTGCCGTTCCGGCAACTCTTGGTGAAGAAAACTGCTTCTTCTCGAACTCGCATGTGGCACAGACGAGCAGAAGCTTGACTGCCAAGCCATACTCTTTGTCCGTGGCCTTGCTAAGTGTCAGGGTTCCCGCACCGCAGCTTCCGCACTTCGCCTGCGCGAAGAGGTCGTTGAGAGCTTTCATGTCCACTACAATGAACTGTGTCCCAGCGTCGCGTGTCTGGCCTCCTGTGGTGACGCCGAGAAGGTCGAATTTGCGCTGGGTCGCCGACTTTTCCGATAGCGCACGCTTGCATTCGTCCGATCGTGCGACTCGTTGCGCCTGCTCGGCCGTGGAGTAGTATGCGGTGTCGACACGAACCGCGCTCGCAAAGCTCGACAA